TCTGTCTAATTTCTGTCATTTTTTCCCTTTTCTTTCCTGTTCTGTTTTACTTGTAAATGCAAGAGTAGCTTGAAAGATATTCTGCTTTGTAATCAGCTACTCTCATATCTGGTCACACAAACTAATTCTCAATCACAAGACGCAGATGTTCATCATGCTGCCAGGTTTGGCCTTGTGATGGGCAGCAACTCACTGATTTTCTGATCTCCAATGGCCAACCCACCCATACTCCTTTTTTTTCCCTTCCAGAAATACTGCTTCTCTTTTTTTTTTTCTAGTGAGAACGTGAATTTTGGTACCATAATACTAACAACTCCTTTGTCTCCAGACTCAGTATGTCATGCTCCTAGTTAATTAAGAGGTGTAAATAGCTAGTATTCTTACTGCCTGAACTGGACCAGGATCCTTAACCTTTTGGTCTGTTAAGAAACTGCACAGTAAAGAACTGAGACAATTGCAGAAAACATAAAAATACAGAATATTTCACGTCTACCACAGTTCTTTTTTGCTCTTATGAAATTTGCCTCTTCCTAAACTCTTATCTTTCTGGACTCATCCTTTTATTCTGTTTTTCGATGTTTTTATCTCCTGGAGGAAGGGGAGGGATGATTTATCTCTTCCTGCTGCCCCTGTTTCTGATATCTGCCTGAACCCATGGGTCCAGAATGTAACCATATTTTGTCCAATCATTCCTGCTTCATGCTTCACTCTGCTTTCTTATCTTGCTTTACGTTAATATTTCCTTCCTTCTGTCTCTCATTTTGCTTCTGCTGCTCCTGCTGGAATACACACTTGAGCTTAAATGAAAGGAAATGAAAGATGACTTGTCTAATGTAATTTTAACCATCACTCCCTTTCTCCTCTACTTCCTTTCATTAGATGAAATATAGATTCTTTTGCAAAATATTCTGTAATGAAGGTATTTCTCTTGTTATTCTATAAAATTCTCATATTAGTTGTTGGATATGTTTATTTAGGCAAGAGAAGAAGACAACAATGCTCACAGAAGCATCTCTGTTCACTCTACAAACCTGAAGTGCTGTAAGACTACAGTGGGAAGCAATATCCAGTGAATAGCAGCACTTTATGTCAGCTCTACTCTTTTATCATTACTGTTACCTACAAGCCTGCATTCAGACAAAAATTAGGGAAGAGGTATAAGTTCTTATGTCAGAGCTGCAGATAGTCTGGCTATGGGTATTGATAGCTAAGCTATCAAATTGCCTTTGAATTCAAAAGAGTGAAAACTCACATTCCCAAATACTACTTTCATTGTGAGACATAGTTGGTTGTTAAAGCGACTAAACACAAGCTACGAATTGGCAGCTGAAAGTTTATTTTTCTTGGCTGAATTCTAGGGTTTTATTTTAGCCTCATACCTCTCTGCTTAGCTAAATTGTATAAATAGCAGATAAATTCTTTTTAATTCAATCAAGTAGGTGCCCCTTAGAAGCAGTGACAATACTAAAAAACACACAGCGTTCCTGTGTTTTAGTTCTGGACTGAAACCTTGCCAGACACATGCCTCTTGAACATTTGCCTTTTTTATAATCCACATAATGGGTAAGGGATGAAAACTGCGGTGTCCTGGCAGTGCAGATTTACAGACATTGAGTCCAAAGGAGTCCAGAGCCAGTGGGGTGTAAAGTGACCCTGCCAAGGAGAAGTGGTACAATAAAGCACACCAGAGAGATCTGCAATTATTTTTTCCCCAAATAGAGGTATTCTATTAGAACATCAAACAGCACACTTCAATAAAGTGATTTTTGCAACTGTATTGGAGGAGAGCGGTTGGATTAAAGGCTGGATTGTTGTCTGTTCTGGAGGACTCGTGCCAGTCACTGCAAGCATTGTACAGGCTCTTTCTGAGTTTGGTCTGGGGGTTCTGCATTTCCAGTGATACATAATGCCCATTACACTTGCTATCACAGCTGTATTACAAGCAACTAAACTGTAAGGCAAGATGATGCAATGAACGTCTTGATCTAATTACAGTGTCAGATGAGACAAGAAAAAACAATCCCCAAACTGGACACTAAGGGAACCTCTGATAATATGCATAGAGGAAATTATGTTGCTCTGACAATACAACAGGACATAGATCTGATAAGAGTCTCAGACAGGACTTTAATAATGTGCCAGTTCTAGACAACTCATTTTAATTGCTTATTTTTCCGTAATCTGCTTAAAAAGGAAATAGATTTTTCTGAAAGGATACTTAATGGGGACTGCAAAGGCATTTGTTATTTTTGAAAGATGAATTATCGTTTCCTACAGAAGCTAGTTGTAATCCGAGGCTGTATTTAAGAGATTTCAGATAAACTCTCAAGTTTTTTAGTAACAAGAATGGAAACTGAAAAATTGCAGTTGCTTCATGGCAACATACATATAAAAGATTAGAAAGTTGTGCATAAAATGAAGAGAACTTTGCTTTCCTGCTCCACGTAATTGGATTAAGTTTTATCATATAATCAAATACAATCACAAATCTGTTGATTGTTATGGTGATTGTCACGGTCTTCTTGTTTCCATTTTTGTATGAAACACTTTCTTGTATTTTGAGAGTGTTCACACTGCCAAAGAGCCAAGGTTACTAGCGTAGGCTTTGGCATCCATGCAGATAACTGAAACAATAGAAACCTTTGAGGTGAAAGTTGGGACATTTGTTTTGTTATTGTTGCTTTGCTTTCACTGATTTGTGGGTACACATTAATACAAGTCAATGTCCGTATAGCCATATGTTAAGATATTTGTAAAACAGGGAGATTAAAATGTGCATATTTTATTTTAGGCAGTGTACAGTTAGCAAACTGTTAGTTGTAGACCTGGTGATGACCACAAGTTCTCCATTTTGGTACAGTGAATTTGTGGACCAACAATGCTTCTCTAAAGAATACTTATATTTTCATTTTTGAGTGTTTTTTGTATGATCCATAAGCATTATCAGGAAGGTACTGCAGGTTTGTGACATTTGTTGCTTCTCAAGACTGAGGTTCATCTGAAGAATTTTTTTTTTTTGTTTTCAAGAACAGAGTTGTATGCCAGTTGCATAAAATCACTCTCATTATCATTAATTCACTTTCTCCTTTCCTCTCTTTGCGCTTGTGAAATTAGTTCTTTTCTGATTTCTCATTGACTCTTTGCTCAATGAGTTTTCTTATTACTTTTATGGTTTTTCTGCTTTAGAAAAACAAAGTGCACCATATGGCATAGTGGTAATATATACCCTTGGAAACAATGCTTCATTTCTCACTGTCAAACCATGCCGTTTGATTGTGAAGCCTTGACATGACGCTGTTTCTCCATCACGTGTTAAAACCTCCACATCTCTTTTTGCCAACAAGGTGCCTGTGGCTCTGCTATCCTCCTCAAAACGGGCTCTTGGCCTGGGTTAATGAGCAAGGTGTTCAACTTTTATGTGGCTTTCAGTAAAATCTCACAAGCTTTGGTGGTTAAACTTCTTTATAGGTGTGAATATATATTTGACCAAACTGTCTTCACCAGATGCAATAGTATGTTAGGAATTAAGTTAAACTCTACTTTCCCAGGCCATGTTGGCCTAATTACAGTAGAGTGTGCTTTAATGAGGTTTTCTTCTAAAGTACCTCTGCCTGATATGGCAAACAGCCCAGGGGCAGACTTCAGATCCCGGCATCAAGAACTGATTCATTGCTTGTCTGCAATTAACAGTTGGGTTTCAGGGTCTGGATAAAAAACTAGAATAAGATTCTCTTTCAGCTCATACACTGAACCCAGAGTTACTGACCTCTTCCAATGCAGATGTAACTCAAAGGCCAAATATCATAGATTTATCATGTAGGAGATACTCCACTGATTATGGACAAAGAAGACAGTGCTGACTGAAATTAGTTTAAGTGTGTTGCACATCAAAAAATGATCAATGAAGCCTGGGAGACTTTTGATAAGGAAAGAAAAACAAAGAGTGTCCAACAGTAAAGTTCATATAAAACAGATCTTTGTACCATAGACTAAAAAGAGTGATAGATCCCTGTACATATAAATGAACTTTGCTGTCTTTTTTTAATTGTTTGAACTTGTGAGAGCTAATGCCAAGACTGCTTTGAGTCCCTCTTCATTCTCATGTTGTGTTGTGCATTTTCCAAAACAACAAAGAAGAAAAATTGTCATAGCATAGCATTTGAAATAAAATTACTAATGATAACACTGAAAAAAATAATGCAGCTTCTGCTCCTAAAACCTATATTGCTCATCCCAAACAATATTCACGCACCAGGAAAGAGAGGTGGGGGAAACACTACAGGAAACCTTCTTTCGTAAATCCGCTGTGTTTAATCAAAAAAATCCTTGGGTTTGGCTAGCTCTCAAGGCTAGCTCCCAAGGCAAATGTCACGGCATCCCATAATGCTGGCTTCAGGAACAGGCTCATATTCCCCTGGTGCAGGCTGTTACACAGCCTAACCTAAATACTGTGGGGAACTGGAATAGTAACCTGGTTATGAACTGGGAGATTTTGTTTGATATGCTAGTCCACTGTGAAGGTTTTGGGAATAAATCTGTCAAATCACGGTACAGAATAAGAGATTTTTGCCACCTCTCGAGCTGCAGTGATAACAGCCAATTTGAAACTTCCTTTGCAAGACATTTTTTCCTGCCATCCGTAGGTGTTTGAATGTGCAATTTATGAAATAGTGTTATGTTTAGCACCCAGCATCTTTCAGTCTTTCTTTGATATTACTGTTTCAAACATACATGTTCTCTTTCATTAAACAAGTTCGAGTGGTTTAAATCTTACTTTTTCAAACTAGAGAATAGCATTAGTCACATACCAGAAGGCTAAGTAATGTCTGGGATTTATTAAGTCATTCAGCAAAGTTGACCACAGACAGTTGCATATAGAACGAATGCTAGAAAAAAAATAATTTCTATGATGGTGTTCATTATACTATAACACACACAGAGACTGAAAGCCAAATACTTGGTATCATTTCTGTGTCTATAATTATTATATTTCTTTTTAGACCTTTAACTAGCTTGACATTTTTGGTTATAGAGGGTTTAGCACAGAGGAAATATGTAGTATTAGATCATAGGATAGATAAAAAAGGTAAGTTTAATGTTAATTAGATATCTTGGTAAAGCACCTATGGGGTATAACAAAGTAAATATTTATTGATGACTTTAATGAATATGTAACTTTTACTGCCAACTTAGTGTTATTGCACATTTTTAAAAATCTTACATTTTATATTTTACATTTTAATCCTACATTATATATTTGCAAAAATCTATTGCTGTTATATTCAGCAAAAGGAGCGTTATTGAAGCTGGAATGGGAATTAAGTGGGTTTTTTCCATTTGTTTCTAGTATTTCACATACCTTTGACTCTTTGCCAGTTTGTTTTATCAACATTTCATAGGTAAAGTGATAAAACACTTTGTGAAAAACACAAAAATATTATAATGGATGTTATTGATCAGACAATGCTAACCTGTTGTGTTAGAAGTAACTGAACAGATGTTCTTGGGAATTTCAGGTCCTTACCATTTCCTAAACATTAAACTCATTTTAAAATCACAAATTTAGTATCCAAAAATTGAGCAAAGGTAACAGGAAGTAATTATTTGTTGCGTAAGATTATAATCTATAATTTATGTAGTACTTACTCTTATGAACAAAAGAACATCAAACAAAATAGTTATGAAAATTCCATAATAAGAAAGTCATACAAACTTATTTCTGCTGCGGTGTATCCTCTTGGTTTGATGCTTTTTTTCTTTTTTTTTTTTTTTTGGTTTATATTGAGTTACAACACAGGGAAAATTTTAAACTTTTCTTCTCCTTTTTAAAATTGTATTGTTTCCACATAAAAGGATATTTGTTGTGTGGATTAAGTGGTTTGTGAGCAGGACTGAATAATACATAATTATGTTTGAATTTTTTAGAAGACTGTGGGATGTATTTCCCAGAAGTGAAAAAACATCCAGAGAAATATTTACAAAGATGTCCCGAGTCTGTAAAAAAGTGGCTGAAACAACTGAAGAGTGCTGGGAAGATTCTGCTACTAATTACAAGTTCTCACAGTGACTATTGCAGGCTCCTCTGTGAACATATTCTTGGGTAAGTGCAAAGTCCATTTCAAATTATGTCTGCCAGACAGCAACTGGAGATAAGCCTGAGCTACATGGAGGTCAATTTGAGTTTCTTCATGTGTTGTGAATTATTTGCATCTGAGGTTTCTGGTGGGCCTCTCTCTGGTAGAGTGTTACAGAATACTTGAGGCAAAGTAGTCCCTCTATGAGCCCGTGAGCTATATCAGACCCACAGTACACTTATATATCCTCCATCTTTTCTGGGCATCATGATGAGATTGAAAATGGCAGGGAATATCCTTCAGGCCAGCACCAAATACTTGGTCTGAATCCAAATTTTATCACAAGATTTTGCTAGATGGTCCTATTCAAGCCACTTCCTTTTTGTGCTTCTCCAGCGGTGAGTGCAAGTAGTAAATCTGCATGGAGAAGCTTACAAAGACTTCTCAACGGTGATTTCCAAGAGATGGCTGTGCATGAGAAATGTGCATTTACACATCACAACAGGAAAGATAAAACCATTGCCAAGTTCATTGCACTTGGCAATTGGTTGGGATCATAGTGGCTGATCACAAAAGCTATTTTTTGCTATAATTTTAAGAACATGACTGGCCAAGTCAAATTCAGTGAAATTCAGCAGAGCCATCACTTACACCCCTAGAAACGAATTACTCAGTGATGCAAATAGGTAGGCGGGTGACATTGTGAGACTATTTAATAAATTAAGAAACAAAGTAGTGTAACGTGAGCCAACCTTGGCCATCTGGCTGTGCAAAGGAACAGCAGAATGAATATAGTAACACAGCAAGAAAACCACAGGAAAGATGAAAAACAATCCTGCCAGTATCACTTCTTTTTTTAGTTTCCGGGTTAAACGCTAAAAGAAGCGTCAGCTGAGCCAGTTCTCACTGCTTGTGTGAACATTATATTTTCTCATTTGAGAAGAAAATCCACCTCCTCACAAAAGCAATTCTCCTTAGGAGTAAGGTGCCTGCGAATTAAATTTTTTGGATTTTCAGAATGAAAATTTGTTATAAAACTAAATTCTTGGCCCAATATAATGATTTTGGCTTTCTTTGGTGAAAAATGTCTTAGCTGCTTAAGGCAGCTGTAGAGAGTCTGCTGGAAGACAGTAAGCAAGGTAGCAGAGAGGGTCAGTTGTCTTTCAAAAGACTGAAAAGAGATGTTCTGCTAGAAGGATACTGAATCACTCTCTCTTTCCACATAAATGTAGGATGTTCTACAGTGTTTATTACAGTCATGTTTTCCAATGATTCATGCAATGTGGCTTCCAGGACATCTTCTGCAGAACTAAGTACTCCACTGTCTATTAGATATTACTGAAGTATTTTTTCCCCTGAAAATGATTCTAAACTTTTTTTTTTTTTTTTTTTTTTTTTTTTTTTTTTTTTTTTAGTTTTGTGCCTCTTGTATCAAACAATAAGACTCTACACACCCATGCTGCTTTTTGTGGTATTGGAATATAGTCTAGGTTCACACTTTCAGTGTCTGCCCTCAACTTTAATTGGATCAGGCTTACTGTATTTTATTCTTTACATCAACCTTTGTGACTTGCATCTATGTAGTCCTTTATTAATTTCTTGTCCTACTTGTTTCAGTTAATCAATATGATGCTGAGAAGTTCAGAAATTATTAGTAGTACATTAAAAAAAAAAAAAAAAAAAACAAGGAAAAAGATGAAAAGTGGAAATGTTTGTTTGACATTTTAGCCTCTTACTCCTAATATCCTTACCTTGCCACTATTAACTTTTTTGCACTTTATTTACAAAGTTCCTTTTTGGCTAAGAAATTATTGTTTATATAAGATCAGCCTTGGGAAATTTATGCTTAAGTGTATAATTTCAAAAGCAAACTATCCCACTTCTGTTCATCTGAGCAAGCTGGCCTTAACTTAGAGACATTCTGGTAAGGAGAGAAGTCTAAGAAAATCTCATTTTGAAATAAAATCAGAACCATTTCCCAGCCAGAGCACACATGATGGCTGAAGTTATGTGGGATATATCCTACCCTTTGTCTTGGCCACCCAGATCAATATACAGAGCACAAAAGCAGTAAATGGAACAGATTTTGTCTTGTATAATGTTACATAGTAATGTAACACAAAATACGGGCTCTCATAAAATCAGTAGCTTTGTACATGAGATTTATTGTGATTCCAAAAAGGCTGTAGATAGCACCTCTCTTCACACAAATTCTTCAACAAATCAATAAAAAGTTAACTGAAACTTGTGAAAAATCTGTTCATTCTTTTTCAAAATTTTTGCACAAAGCACTTAGCACTGTTCCCACAACTCTTCGTTGTGCTCCTGTTGGCTTTATTTGGAAAATTCAAGCTTACCTTACTGATTCAATTTTCTTTACTTTCTAGGAATGATTTTGAACAGTATTTTGACATTGTGATCACAAATGCTTTGAAACCTGGTTTCTTCTCCCATACCCCAAACCAAAGACCTTTCCGAACTCTTGGTAAGTTGCAGTTACAACACCCTTCTCATTGGATTACCTCTATCAAAAAAAAAAAAAAGAAAAAAGATGATAGAAGTAATGCTACTGGGCAACATATTTTGAAAATCTAGCATTATGGGAAAGGAAGGACATTACAAAAGACTCTTCCAGGGATTTAGTAAAAAGTTCTCTTAAGACTGAGGAGCACTGAGAAATTAATACTTACAGTGTTGAGGACAACGAAACGGCAGAGCTGTAACATTAAATAAAAATGGCATTTGGGCTCAGATACTACATCGTTAATAAAAAAATACTTTTCTTTATTGTACTGATAAGGTCATACATGGATAATGAAATTTAGTTCTGGCAAAAAACAGAGCAGATAGCTTTCATTAATTTAAAGGAAATTCAAAGAACAATACAAAGAAAATGGCGAGGCTGAAGGAAATTGTTCATGATGGAAATTCGACAGTATCACATGAGTGTACTTTGGCTAAATAATTACAAAGTAGGGGAAAAGGAAATGCCCCTGTATTTATGTAATTCAATTTTAAAAATATGAAACGTTTGCCAGTGCTGTCCATCAGGTAACTAAAGCTGTAACAAAAGAGGTTTAGGAGAGGAGTATTCATTGAACTACAAATAACAATAGTAGCAAGTCTGAAGATAGTTAGTTTTTACATATTTTGGAAAAAAGCTTTATGCTTGCTATCTGAAAATTAATCTTATCTCCAAAATAGCATAAGTCAGCATATAATGAAGTGTATTTTAGCATTTTATGACAGGAAAGTCAGTCAACTCCAAAAAAATTTTGCCTGTGGAACTTTAAAACTAAAAGGAGCACCAGAAATATATATTGAAACTGCATTTTAATGTTTCATGTATTTATATACAAAAATAAGTAAGAAATATCTTAAATATGTTTTTTAAATGATTGCTTCAAATAAGAAGCTGCCAAGTTGATATATTTGAGAAAAAATCATCTCAGAAGAGAAATTGAAACTCTTCATATGAAAGGGGATGGAGAAGAAAAAATATAAAGGGTGAAAAGGCTCAGTTCTACAAGCATTTTATTTAGTTTTATATAATGCAAATTGAAAATAAAATGTAAGTCATTTTGGATATTTTTTAAGCAGTCTGATTAGCCTGACTTCCTAAGGAAATCCTGCTGTGTCACTCTGTCAGTAATCCAGCCAGCAACTTTTGAACCTGTTGGCCAGCTTCAGTAAATGCAAAAGGCAGCAAAAAAGCTCCAAGATATTTTGACAAGGGTTTCTTTTTTCTGCAAACAAAGGCAGAACAGAGGGAGAAGACTTGAAATTACTGTCTTCATTGAAAAAATATTGTGTAGCATTATCTTAATTGCCTTGTTAGATTTTAAGTATCAATTTTCATGAAACTGTTTTTTTCTCATGCATTCAAACAGGAGCAGAATTCCCTGGAGTCCTCTTACTGACTTACTGCTTTTCATTCACTTTATGCTTTGGCATTACAGAGAGGTTCAAGTGCAAGTTGATCACTCATTACATGAACATCTTATTAATGCAAAATAAAATGTGGTTTCTGTTCTGAAGACCTCACTATCTAAATAGATAAGGGACACAAACATAACTAAAGTAATCATCAGATAAATAATTTGCTGAAACTACTAACCTGTGAGTAGATTTTTTAGAATATATTTGTATTTGATTGACAGTAACTGCTTTCTTGTGAAAGACCAACCAGAACATTCAAAGCAAAGAATTATACATATAGGACAGGCTTTTAGCAAAGGTTTTGACGTAGCAAAATGCTTAAGACTCTGTGAAGTTTTAACCAGAATAATATGAGAAAATGTCCAAAAATAATATTTATTTTTTTATGATTATTCTTATGCTGCCCTCCATGTTCCTCAGAACAAACGTATGCCTTCAGGATAGGCACTGATAGTGTCATGCAGTCATCACACATACTGGGGAACACAGTTCATTTCGGAAATAGCATACAGTGGAGCTTCTAATACTTTTGGGGAGGGCTGGGGGAGACACACATGGCAGTTTTCCAGTTTCCAGAATTATTTTAAGGCTTTCTATCGTATCAGAACTAATGAAACTTCAGAGCTGCAGTTTCTAGTTTCTGTCTTCCCATTGCCACTATAAATTTCAGAGAGAAGAGCTCTGCCACTGTGCTTCAGACCCTTTCTTCGAGAGCACTTGAAATAATATGTCAGGAGACAAAATTTGCTTATTTTTGCTTTGAAATAGGAAGAAAAATAGAGGTGGATGTCGTAGTAAATATTTTCTTACAGCACAAACCATAAACTTTTGTTAGTGTAATTTAGGGAAAAAAGCTCCAGTGAGTGAAGTTTCAGCCATGTTCTTCCATCCATCAGTAGGTCTGAATTACGGTAAATTCCATAATAATACCATATTCACTTTTATTCCAATGGGATTGCTTTTTAAATGGACTTAAGTCACAAAATAAGGAATGTTTTCTTAATTTCAGACACCCCAAATGTTGCATTGTGTACTGGAGCTACATTTGATTTATAGATAACAAGATTTATTAAGGGAAAAGTTTTCAAGTTCTCCAAAGAGAAGGATAAATACTTGTCAGTGAATAATTTCAGAAAGGTGACTGTGTTCAGTAAACATTTGAAGGAGGACAAGAAAAAGGACAAGATGACAAAGGCATTGTCTAGCAATGTGATATCAGATAACTGCTCTGCGGGAATTTTTTTTTCAGTAGACAAGTAATTTTAGAACTAATGCATTGAGAAACCATGTAAAAGTATTTTAATTCTACAATTCAAAATGCATCACAACTTTGTCTGAGTTTCAAGACATGCATCATTTAAAGCAACCAAAACACCATTTGAAATCTTAAAAGATGGGTGTGACTACTTTTTATTGAACTGGGGCACTGAAAAGCACAATAATTAATTATTTAATTTGCGTAATTGTCTTTCACAGTACCATTCTGTTAAATGGAGGAACAGTTCATACCTATCTTTACAGATTATAGAACAGCTACATTTATTTTTACCTGGCAAATCAGTTTTTATAAATAGGGGAAGCTTATGCAGGAAAGCACATCATTTATGAGAACAGTACCATACAAAATAAAACCAGCCTTACTCATAATATCTTGAGCTATTGGATCTAAGGATCACATCAAAAGTGTTTGTTTGTGTAAATCCTGTGTTGAGTATGTAGGATTTTCTTTGTTTTCAACAGCTACATCCAGCTTAAAATTATATACCATTCCATGAAGGACTTGGAAGAATACAAATAGCAAATACAGTTGTGGCTCATCGGATAATTTGCCCGAAATCACACAGATTCCTGTAACATTTGACAACAGAGCTTTGACTTTTTTGACGTCACTCATTAATGTATGTCAAGTTACTAGTCTTACTGCCAGTTCTGATCAGATATACTTTTTAGAATGCAAAATTAAAACAGGAATGATAAAGATAACCCTAAATTGCCTGAAAGCCTCTTCTAAGTCTGTGTGCACAGTGAATTTTCACTTGGTCCTAAAGAAGACTTTTATATTTCCAGATCAGACATAGTTACTGTCTTTTTTGACCTGTGATTTTCTGATTTGTCAGAAAATAGTCTGAATGTACAATGCATATTTTAAAATGTTTGTATATTTTCATACATATGTGTACATTGTAGCAATCCTGTACACGAAGTGCCAATGGATGTCGTATTTCTGTGAGATCATGTGCCCTTATCCAATGCCCAGAGAAACAAACCCACTCTTCCTCTGCAGCAAGTCTCAGGTTGTCAAAGCCCACTTTCACTTGCACTTCCAGGCTGTGTGCCTTATTCCTGCACTTGATTTTCTGTCCAGCTTATGGTGGCTCTGCTATGTGGTGTAGCCCCCACTTGAGGAAACTCAGTCATCCAATATTTATGACTCTGTGGTAACTGCCATTTTAACAACTCACTGCAGAAGCTTTTTTCCTCCTTCAGTCATTCTTCTCTAGCCTTCCAAAAATACAAGAAAATGCTATAAACTGAAAGAACCAATTATAAAAAAAAAAAAGGGCCCAGTGTATAAAATTACATACTTCGAAACTGAAGACTGTCTGACTGTCTTTGATTATTAGGGGCTGCAAGACTTTAGAAAAAGGAGGTGATCCCAGGTCTGATATTTAAGTTTTCTTCTGCCATCTTCTGCAACATCTGGGCTCGACTCCTTGCCAGTGATGGGATACAGAACTGGGTGGAGAATCAGGGCTGATTCTATGTAGCTATTTTTATGCATTTATATTCTAAGGCTTTTTAGGCCTGAGGAGTGGGATTAGGAAGGGAGTGCTGTCATTTTACTGGAAGTCAAATGTGTAAGCCATATGACTTCTTTTTAGAAGTGTCTTTTTACTTGAGACTTCTGTCTTTACCACCAAAGGAATACCAAAATGCTACCCAGTAAATATTTTCAAGACCTTTAGTAAAACTGTACAATATTGATTAAAAATGTAGAAATTCTGAAACAGGTCATATTGCACCATTTCAAGAGGAGATCTCATTTAAGCATTCTTGCATTGCTTACTTAGTTAAGAACATAAATGCCATCTCTAGAAAATTCTGATTAAATTTTCAACCAAAACACATTGAATTGAGTCTACAATATAGCTCAAATGCTACAATTGCAACGTAATAGGTATCTCAGTTGCTACCTCTACAGTAAAGGCTGTTTTGATAAGAAAAAAAGATGGTACTTTTTTCTTTTACATGAGCCTGAGAGATTAAAACTTCTTTTGCTATTTCAGTTGTTCCAAACATCTTTGCAAAACTTGTCTTGCTTTAGATCATCAGAACTTCATGTTTAAATGTAGATTCAATTTTACAAATAGTTTAGATTTAGCCTCTAACTCATTACAGGTATAACAGCAAAGTGTTGGTGTTTTCATGCAGAGACACTGATACTTGGCAGAGAGCTCACTCACTCCATAGGAACCTGGTCTTTTGCTGCGCTTTTGAATCCTTACCCAAATGCAGGGCTTGTGGTCCTCAGTCTGCAAAGACTGT